CGAATATGAAACATAACACAAATCGATAATTAGTGCCAATAATAAATATTTCTCGTTTTGCTCATATAAATAAAAATTGTGGGTGTATTTAAAATAGTATATATTTATATATAATTATTTGGTATAATAAATATTAAATTAAACACCAGTGATTTCCTTAATCCAGTCACGGGCATATGAGATCTTAGAGTAGACTCCGGGGTAGTCAGGAAGGGCGCAACCACGTCCCCATGATACGATTCCGTGAAGAACACCATCGACAACAACTGGGCCACCAGAGTCACCTTGACAAGCGTCCTTACCACCAATTCCCAAAAATCCAGCGCAGAACATACGGTCGGTTAAGCTGGTTGAGTAGGATTTTCGGCAGGTGTTGAAGTCGATAAATGGAACTTCGACTTCTTGTAGAACATTTGTAATTGGACCACCAGACTAAAATTATTGTATTAAATATTGTTGCAAAAGAAATATTGCTAAAATTTATTTTATTAGTCACTTACTCCAGTTGATCCCCATCCAGTAACAGTGCACATAGTTCCAGGTGTTAATTCTACATCTTGGTCTACTAGTTTGATGATGTTGACGTCTTTTGTTACTGTAACTGGTTCATCCAATTCCAGAAGTGCAAAATCGAAGTCGAGTGTCGCCGAATCACCGAATTTTGGATGCTTGATTTGGTTTTTAACGCTGTGAACAACACCACCACTGTTCTTGATTGAACTTCCTACCCGGACTCTGTAGTAGGTTGAGCTAAAAAATACAGGAAAATTAACTTTGCAATTTTACAACATTGATTTAAGGGTAGAATATGCCAAAATTATATTTACCTGATGCAATGAGCTGCTGTTAAAACCCAGTTTTTGGCAATTAAAGAACCACCACAATTGTGGTTTGTGTAAATCAAAGATACTTGATGAGGATGTTTGTCAATGCTAGTATCGTGTCCTCCAACGATTCTGCCATCTAACCTGTTCCAAAAGTCAGGAACGCTAGCACCTGATACAAGTAATAGTAAATATCATAGTTATTTTTAAATTTTACAATTACAATTACAATTTGATGTTAACTTACCAAGGGTGCAGACTGCGAGGGCACAGATAATTGCAAGACGAAACATTTTGACTGACTGATATTGAAGAGAAATAAATATCTTTTATATATACTCTATGATTATCTTGATGTTTTGCTATTGCTACGGAGAATAATCTTGATTGTAATTGGTTTTTCTATATAATTAAAGATATGGTTTTTTGTAGTGATAAAATATTTCTAAATTTAATTTTATAAATTGAAGAAGCGATAAATTAATATAATTAAATTGGGAATTATCAGATATCAAAAATATCAAGGATTTCTATCTATATCCAAATTCGAAATTGAGTGAAATCTTAATACATTTGACTTAACAATTGAGAATTAAAATTGCAGTACTATCGATTTATAAATCTTTTATTTTTATAAAATAATACACAGTTACAATTAAATTCATATCAAGACATAACGCAGCTTTATTTTCTTCATTTACACTCCAGAAATTCCCCTGATCCATTCACGTGCAGCTGATACTTTGGAGTAAACTCCAGGGTAGTCAGGTTGTGCACAACCGTATCCCCAGGATACAATTCCGTGTTGGACACCATTGACAACTACTGGGCCACCAGAGTCACCTTGGCATGAGTCTTTGCCTCCAACTCCCAAAAAGCCGGCGCAGAACATACGGGTGGTCAATTCTCCTGGGTAAGATTTTTCACAGACGTCTTGTGCGACATGTGGTACGGCAACTTCTTGAAGAACATTGGTGTTAGGTCCCTGAAAAAACATTATATAGTAATTACATGTAAAATTAGATAAATTTTATTATCTTACTTGTGTGTCACCCCATCCAGTAACGGTGACCATGGTTCCTGGTTTCAATTCAACTCCGGCATCAGCAAGTTTTACAAAACCGACACTGTCGCTAAGTTGTACTGGAGATGCTAATTCAATTAGACCATAATCGTAGTCAATTCTAGATGCATCATATTTTTCATGTCTGTATTGTTTTTTGGCTTTGATAACAACTCCTCCTTCACCACGAATGGAGCTTCCAATACGAACGTTGTACAATGTGGAACTAAAAGAGAATGAAATAAAACATAATATATATAAATATATATATATATATATATATATATATATATATATATATATATATATATATCTTACCTAATGCAATGTCCAGCAGTCAAAACCCAATTTTTGGCTATTAAGGAACCACCACAATTGTGGAAGTTTCCACTTAGCAAAGACACTTGATAGGGATGTTGCTTGATGGATGTGTCATGACCTCCAACAATTCTACCGTCGGGCAACTTTGCGCCTAAATTTTTGAGAGAAACAAATCAGAGTAGTAAATAATTTATTAGTTGATCAATAATAACCCCAGTATAATTTTGGTAATTTAATTAAATATGTACATGAATATTGAAAATAAAAATTAGTGATATGGTAACAACGTTTATAAACATAACATATTACCATAAATGTTATCATAAGAACAATAAACATTTTTATATATAATTCTTATAAATAACAATTTCTATTAACATTTTTAATATATTTCTTACCCAAGGCACAAGCTACAACTGCAAAGACAAGAGCTAAGCGAAACATTTTCTTCAAGTGATACATTTTCTACAGAAATGTTTCAATTTATATACAAATCGAAGATTAGTGATTTAAAAATATCAGTAATCTGGATTAGAACACGATTATATTATTATTGTTTTGACGGGATTTAAATGATTGAAAGATAAATAAAAAAGATTTGTTTCATGTATAATATTTTGAATATCATTTTGTAGAATTGAGTTGAACTCTGCAAGATCTCTTGTGATAATTAGTTTAATATATTAATTCAGGCTCTTGTGAAGTTTATTATTAAGTTAAGAAAAATTAATGTTGAGAATGTTTAGTAGCTGTTTCAACAATACAACAAGTCAAATATGAAAAAAAAACTAAATGTAAATATATCATAAGGTTCCTAATAAAGTCTAATACATCTTGGCCAATCTTAAATTTTATGTAGGGATTTCAAATTTTTAATAAACTATATTTTTGAACATAATAATTGTTAATAAAATTTCCTTGAAGCATAAGCAATAATCAAAAAGAAAATCAATTAAGTTGCTACAAATACAAGCTTTGACTAGATTTTACTGAAATTAAATACACAAATAATCCTTGATAATTAATATTGAATAACTTATACAATAAATTATAATAAATGCTTCATTGAATTCATGGCAATAAAATATATATCTATTCAAAATTCCTGAGGGATAGTTAAGGTCTAGTAATATTCAAGGTTCACACGTGTCTTGTGAAATACTTTGGCGTGATGATACAGATTAGGATAAAGATTTACATTTTAATCAACCAGTATGGTCGAATGAATTTCCAAATTTCCAGAATCATTGTCTTATTAAATAATATCAGCAAATCTATGAATTAAATCTAATCAATTTCTGGGTTTATCATATAAAAGGACAGGGTTATGTATTTTGTAACGAGTTTGATAAAATGTTTCGACTAGTAGCGGTTGCTGTATTTGTGGCAATTTGCCAAGGTAATAGAAATAAGTCAGTAATATATGATAATACAGATATCATATAAGTAATTTTCTTTTTAAACTAAAGGTTCACCTTTGGCAAATAGCAAAAATATTCATAATAGAATTGTTGGTGGTATCGACACAACTATTGAACAACATCCATATCAAGTTTCTTTAATTTTGTACGATGAGCATAATTGTGGAGGTTCTTTGATTGCTAGGAATTGGGTTCTTTCAGCAGGACATTGCATCCAGTAAGTGTTAGAGAATATAATACCAATGAAATAACAAATCATTTGATCCAAAGGTGTTTTAACTCTACTTTTTAGTTCGCCTACTCCAACTTATGTTGTCCGAGTTGGAACTACAGAATATCAAAAAGGAGGTGTACTTCACACAGTAAAGCGTCAACTTAGAAGTCCAAATTTTAGCACTTTTCCTACAGACAATGATTTCTCTTTGCTAGAATTAGATGAACCAGTAACTTTAAATGACAAAGTACAAATAGTAAAATTACCTAAGGCTGGAGAAGAATTGAAAGATGGAACTTTGGTTAATGTTACTGGATGGGGAACAACGGAGGTAAAATAAATGAGGGTTGAATTTGGTATAATTTATTTTGTGTGCATTATTTATGTCTGCTTATTCAAAATTAATCTAGAATGCTGATGAATCTCAATTACTTCAACTGGTGAGCGTTCCCACAGTGGCAAGAGATGTATGTAACGTTCCATATGAAGGTAAAATATCAGAAAATATGTTCTGTGCTGGATTTTTGGGAGAAGGCGGTAAAGATTCATGCCAAGGTGACTCTGGTGGCCCAGTAGTAGTCAACGGAGTGCAATACGGAATTGTGTCTTGGGGTAGAGGTTGCGCCCGCCCAGATTTCCCTGGAGTTTATGCTAAAGTTTCTGCAGGACGCGAATGGATTAAAGAAGTTACCGGAATTTAAATATTTTGTTTTTATTTTTGTGACAATCGAATAAATAAAAAAATTACATATATATAATAATTGTTACTAATTATTTAATAAAATTTTCAACAAATTTATTATATCTGAGTTTAACTATAGTTGTAGTAGACTATCATGAAATAAAAAAGAATAATTACTGCAAATCAGATTTAATTGGCTAACGTTTATAAACTTCTTTCTAACTTAAATGCAGATTTGAACGATATGTTTATTTATGAAATAATAGGTATTTTGCATATTTTCTATTTAGCTTTTATAATGGAAAATACTTAACTAATATATTCATTACTTATTGAAAATATTTTAATAAGGAGTATAGTTTCATTCATTTACTTTCAAATTCAAAATTAATTTACTTCAATTAATCAACACTCTTTATCCCCATTTCTTAATCATAATAAAATAATATTTATCAAATTCTTAAATAAAACTTCATTCATTCTTCAATATAATCTATTTAATAAAACATATAATCTCATTCAATTAATTATGTGTATACCATGTAATTATGTGTATATAATAACATTAAGTGTTTTTATTTAATTTTCATATAAATAAATAAAGTAACAAGAATAAAATTTTTATTTTTTAGAATATGTTTATCATTTACACTCCAGAAATGTCCTTTATCCAATCTCGTATAGCCGATACTTTAGCAAAAACCGAAGGATAGTTGGGTAGTGCACATCCAAAGCTCCAGGAAACAATACCATATTGGATACCATTGGATACAACTGGTCCACCAGAGTCACCATTGCAAGGTCCTTCTCCTCCTGACATTTTACCAGCACAGAACATATATGGGGAGATCAACCTGTCTGAATGTGATTTTTTGCAGACTTCTTCGGATACATATGGTACAGTTACTATTTGTAGAGCTGCGCTGGATCGACGGCTCTGGAGAAAATAATTAATTAATTTAGAAATTACTTTTGAACAGTGCTTTATGAATGTATTCAACTTACACCCCATCCCGTGACATTTAGTAGAGTTCCTTCTTCAAGTTCAACACCAGGTTCAGCCAATTTGACTAATTTTACATTTTCACTAAGTTGTACCGGTGTGTCTAACTCAATTAATCCATAATCATAATCTACAGTTTTTGCATCAAACTTTTCATGTCGATATTGTTTTAGAGCTCGATGCACAGCTCCACCTTCGCCTTCAAGAGAACTTCCCACACGGATGTAGAATTTGAAAGAACTATATTTGAAAACTAAAAGTTAATGTAATATTTATATTAAAAGTAATTAATTTAATTTTGTACGTACTCGATGCAATGCCCGGCTGTCAAAACCCATTTTTCAGAAATCAAAGAACCTCCACAGCTGTGATATTCATCATTGTACAAAATTGATACTTGGTAAGGATGTTCTTGAATTGTGGTGTCTTTGCCTCCAACGATTCGATTATTTACATTGGTGGACCCACTGGGGAAACCTAATATTTTTTTATTTGAATTAGTGTATTTACTATAGAACTTACTGTTCTTCAAAACTTACCCCAAGAGCATCCTATGAAAGCCACCAGAACATATAAAGTATACATTTTCAACTGTCCAGTGATTATTTCATTAATTTATACGCTAATGATTTATTGATTTAATTTTTAAGAATCTAGTAATATCTAGTACACTTATGATAACAAGACAAAAAGATATCTGAAGTGCAAGATATATTTCTAAATGTCGTCAAGGATGTCAATGTATTTTCAGGGCTTTGTCTCATGATAAAAAACAAATTTTAATTCTCTTCGAGAAAATTTATTACAAAATGCTAATGGCGTTGATACATGAAAATATAAATAAAACGATAAATTTATATACAACATATATTGTGAATCAAATACGGTACAAAATTAGACTCCAGCAACTTCTTTTATCCATTCTCGTACTGAGGATACTTTTGCAAAAACCCCAGGATAATCAGGTTCTCCACATCCAAAACTCCAGGACACCAAACCATACTGGATACCATTCATAACTACTGGACCACCAGAATCACCATTACATGATCCAACACCACCTTTTAAGTCTCCGGCACAAAACATTCTATCAGTTATTCTATCTGGATATGATTTTAGACACACATCTGTATCTACAAATGGTACTTTCACCAGTTGCAGAATTTTGGATACAGGACTATTCTGGAAAAAGATGATAATGATAATATTATATATGTATATAATGATGTCATAATATTTATTACTTCTGTAGCTCCCCATCCAGTAATGCTAACAATGTCACCATTCTTCAGTTCGTCACCACTTTCCGCCAATTTGACAAGTTGAACATTTTGGTTTAAGACAACTGGTTTTTCTAATTCAAATAATGCAAAATCGTAGTCGATTTTTTCATGGTTGTAGTTTGGGTGTCTTAGTTGTTGCTTTACAATATGCACAGTACCACCTTGTCCAGAAGTACTGCTACCAACTCTCACATCGTAGTTTGAAATTCTATATAAAAAATGAATTTTAAATTAAGTCATCTCTAGGGTTTTGAATATCGTATTTTGATACTTATCGTTTATATTGAATTAAAATAATCAAAGATCAACAATCAACGATGCAATTGTTTACACTTGTGTGAAATAATAAATTGTTTTCAGTATCTACGGGCACACTTTGAATTTTTTGTTTATTATTTTACTATCAGTGCTTCTCAAACTAGTATATTATGCCAATAAATCCCTACAAATTCCAACATTTACCTGTCGCAATGGGCAGCAGTCAGAACCCATTTTTCGGCGATTAAGGATCCTCCACATTTATGTTCATTTCCCAAAAACAAAGCAACTTGGTAAGGATGCAAATTTATACTCGTATCCTTGCCACCAACAACTCGATTTAGAGGTAGATTTGCACCTGTAAAGCATTAATATATAGAAACTTAAACCTACTAATAAGATTATAGTAGTAAAATTTATTTACCTAAAGTGCACACAACGAATGATAAAGCCACAGCCACACGAATCATTTTTGTATGTTGAAAAATTAATCGAACGCAGCCTTATATACCAAACAATTATATTTCAAATGTTTATGATCAAACCAGCGAATATAATTGATTTAGATAATTATTATATCTAATTAATCTTTGAATATATCTCTTATATTCCAATATTTTAATAGAATTCGGGTTATTCCAAATCATATTGTAATTTAATTTTTTTAAAGATAAAGTAGAATCGCAGATTTGATAAACACGTGTTTTGTAACATAATTCTAATCATTAGGTGATCGATATCTAATCAATATTTATAGCCCTAAATCTAAACAGTATAATTGAGTGTGTATTGTTATAAATTAGATTGAATGGTTTTTCTTTTTACATAAATTAATTTTTTCATTACAATCCAATAAGCGGTCGATCAGCCAGGCGTTAATTTTATAACAAAAATACAATCATTGATAAACATTTTTTTTTTATTATGAAAACGAGATTTCTTCTCTGCATATTGGTATCTAATGTAAAAATTGATATATGAATTATTTTCTTTGGATGTAGAAATATTCTGTAATTAAATTTGCTAAAAGGGCTTACTTGAAACAATGTTTCAATGGAGTATTCCAAATTTATTTTTATCTGAATTTTTTGGATAATCAAAACTTAAAAACATTAAAAATCTACGGTCCATGATAATTTTAAATAAAAATGTATTTTGTGGGTATACGTCTATTTATTGAAAACAATACTTAGAGACCGATTCTGCCGCATAACAGACCAATATTATGGCAAGGCTATGTTATGAAGAACTTTCCATACACATTTGCTTTAAATTTTGATAAAACGCTTGCAGTCAGGCGATTTTCCCAGGTTGTCAGATAGAAAACATAATCTAGAAACCACACAAATATCAAAAAAACGATCTTAGATAACATGGTCTTTCTGACTCAGGTTCATAACATATGAGTGACGATGAAGTTTATGTGTAAAACGCTTGAATGTACTGTACAGCAAATACATGACATTTTGACAATATTTAGTATGATTAAGTAGCATAATGTATGGAAATGAGACCGTAACATGGCCTTGCCATAACATTTGTCGCAGAAATGTTTCTTAGGTCTTGTTTATATAGATTTAGATCTAGTGCTGATCAACTGACTTTACTAATCATTAATCTCATGATAATAATATTACCAAATATCTGTAAACTTATGATGTTTTTAACCTTTAAAAATATAATTATTTAACTTATAAGATTTTTTCTGTATGCATGATCTTACGAAAACTCATTTATGTCAAAAATATATGAATTTCAATAGAATCCTTTGAAAATAATAAAAAGACGTCTATAATTTAAACAATTTTATTATAATAAAGAATGCATCTACTTAAACTCCAGACACTTCTTTAATCCATATACGTTCGTAGCTAACTTTGGAATAAACATTTGGATATCTTGGATCGGCACAAGCTTTTCCCCAAGACACCACACCATATTGGATACCATCCTTCACCACAGGACTACCTGAATCTCCAGAGCAGATGTCCTTAAGAGTTCCATCCATATAACCAGCGCAAAACATTCTTTGTGTGATACCAAAGTCGTAAATTTTGCTGCAAGTATATGTGTTGACTACTGGAACTGTTACTAATTGAAGAACTGGAGCCAAATCTTCGGTCTAAGGAAAAAATATTATTTTATTTTGGTACAAACTCACTATTTGTATTAATTTTCTTACCGCTGTTGTACCCCATCCAGTGGCATTAAGAAAGGTTCCTTCATCCAGATCTACACCTTGTTCTACAAGTTTCACAAGTTGAACTTTGTTGCTCAAGAATACTGGTTCATCAAGTTCCAGCAAGGCAAAATCGTAGTCAAAAGGTTCGTAATATGGATGAACATGGATTTTTTTAATGGTATGTATTTTGCCTCCTGATTCCAAATCGCTGCTGCCAACTCTAACAGTCAATTTATACTTTCTGAAAAAAATACGATAAAAATAAAAGAAAGTATTTTCAGAAGATCAAGAGAGAATTTGTTTTTTTTGACAAAAATTTAGAAATTATTGATTTTAAAAAATTAATAGCCATTTGATAAATCTTAGTAAGAACTCGTGTTGAGTAAATTCTTTAATCTGTTGGCCAAATATGCTCTTAATATAAAAAAACATATGTCTTTTTTACTTACTCTACACAATGAGCAGCTGTCAAAACCCAATTTTGAGCAATAAGTGAACCACCACATGTGTGTCCTGATTTTCCATCTAAATTCCACAACAAAGAGACTTGGTAAGGATGATCCTCGATTTTTGTATCTACTCCTCCAACGACTCTACTTTCATCCTTGAGTACAGCCCCTGAAAAATACACAAAAATTATAAATAAATATTGAACAAATAAATTATGAACAAATTTAATTTTTAATTAATAATCTAACCTAAAGAGCTTAATACCAGGGTTGACAAAATCACTGCAAAATACATTTTGCTGAAAATTTTAGAAAAACATATTTACGTCTTGGTATTTATACCAGTACAGTAATCGATAACATTGTTGTATGTTTTTGATTACATATTAATTTTAGAGATTATAATGATAATTGTTATATTATTATATTTAAGAGTTGTTGATATAGAACTTTAAAATCGATATTAAGATCGACATAGATATAAATGAACAAATAATGTATTTGGTAATTCCGTCCAACGTTTTTGCTTTGCAAGATTATATTTCATTAAATGTTAATATTTTTACAAAATATCTTTAATAAAATACAATATAATTACGTTAATTTTTTTAGTCATATTATTCGTTAATATTTTGATGTAGAAGTATTGTAATAAATTACAACCATAATCTTGTAAGGAATAATTATCTAAAATGTGTATCACTTAATTAGCAACATAGAAATATACCTCAATTAACAGAAACAAATTTGTTTATTTACCAACATATATATATATATATATATATATATATATATATATTCAATTTTTTTATAAATTTATTTTTGTTACTTTTAAAATAATATAATATTTTTTGTTACTTTTACTCTGATGTGTGTTCTTAATTACCTAATTATTATACATATAAACAAATTCAACACATGATTTTAAAAGGCCTGGATTGTATGCTTCCATATATTCTTATATTTAAAAAAAATCAGGCGTAATTATATTATTAAAATATAGATAAACAAGTATAAAAAACAAGTATGATTAAAATCTATAAATACTAAATTCTGTTTTATAATATTTGATTATCACTATGTTTTATTTCACTTCAAATTCAAAACAATTTTGTAGAAAGTAGTTTTCAAACAATTTACTTATTGTGAAGCCATTTATTGAATATCATCAATTAAAATAAACTATTTTTCAGATATTTTATTTTTCTGCATTTTTTATTACCTTCTAATATTTTTTTTTTTATTCTTTCTTCGGCATTTCTCTCTTGGATTCTTCTGAATTTTAAATAAAGAGAAGAAATACTTAATTAATTATAGATAAAATTCAAAATCCGAATTTATTTTATCAAGTTGAAAAAAATTTGTAAAATTGTTATCCCTACCATTTTCTAAACAGCAGTCAATATAACTTTCCTTCAATGTTTTTTTTTTTTTTTTGAACGCCATTCAGAACTATTTTGACTGTTCTATGAGCTTAGCTAAAGGAATGTCTCATCACCTCATGTTATTGAAAGGCAACTCAGTGGTTGTCCATTTTTTTGAGAAGAAATTTTTATTAATTGAATATTAATATCAAGCTTAACCAGGCAGGAATAAATGGAGCATGTGGAAGCAAGATCTTTCCATAGAAATACGAATAAGCCTTATACATTTTTTGCAATCAAATGTTATATTTTAAATTATTGCAAAAATATTATCACGACACAGATAAAAAACACGTACTTTCTTTAGATAAAAATGATTTGTTATTATCTTGTAGCGCATTTATTTGTTTATTATCAGTGAAAAAGTTGCAAAAGATTAAAAACCAGTTTTGTTGAATTATAAATAAAATATTAAATTATCAAGGAAATATCAAATCAATAATCAATATTTATCTTAGTAATTTCATATACAAGAATCACTCTCTTTCTTTTTACTTTTTCATATAATATATAAATAAATTAATTATTTGTTTAATTATATAATTTTTTTTGTTTTTTAATATATTATACTATGATGAAAAAGTTAATAAATATCTCAATACTATATTATATTTATAAATTACTTTAATTTTTTAAATAAGAATTTTCAGCCAGTCGTCGAAATAAAAGAACACAAAAAATACAAATATTTATTTATAATATACGTTTCGACACGAATTGCGTGTCATCATTCAGCAGTTCTTTGTTAACAGTATCTAAAAAATATTTACAAAGTTTAAAAAAATAAATTTAATTTTATATTTAAAATAATTAAACGATATATAGTTTTATTAGTTTAATTAGTTTAATATGCATACTTAATATAAAAAATAATGGTCAGAAATAAAATTTATGATTTGTTGAACTAGTAAACAACTTAGCAATTTCGTTTTTATATTATATTATATCAGTAATATATTTTTATATATTTGTAAAATTTGAATAATATTAATAGTATATTTATTGCCTATTTAAAGTAGAAATATAGCTCCGTAAATTCTTTTAAGTTATTTGTAATAATAATGATAAACTATGTATTTTGATTTATTTTTTTACCATTCCTGAGTTAGATAACAAATATTTTCTCATTAAATTATTTGCAATCTTCCCCAGACATCAATTTAACGACGTTCATTCCAAAAATAGTTTAAATATAGCAATGACCTCTTGTAGAAAAAAATGCGAAATTTTAAACAAAATTTTTGAAATCTCGTATTTACAAACATTGGCTTGAGAATTTTATTTACAACTTTTTTTTACAGACTGCGTAGTTTATCATTGTTTTTGTGTATGAGTAACCGGTATATCTAATCTATCATTTAGAAGAAAAACACGTCGTCTTGTTCTTGATCTCGATGAATTTATTTAGTACAGTTTATTATTGATTCTAAATACATCAACGAGACGTTATTTGTTTAATTTATTTAAAAGAGAACGATAGAGCTGGAAGCAATTGTTTATGAAGAGTTATTGTGATTACATGTGATATTGAATATATTTGTGATATTTAGAATATAAGGTAAATTATGATATAATGAAAATATATGATTAAAACATTTTCAACTTTACAAAGAAGTTTACTTATATATCACTTTTTTATTTAACTATTAGAACAAATGAATAAATTAAAGTCTAATAATTTAGGTCGATTATTTACTATTTACATATTTGAAGTTAGTACTACTTGCTTGAAGAAATGTTGTTTATTGATTATTTCATAGCAAAAATATATTTATTTCTACCGTATATAAATAGAACTGACAATTTTGTTTTTAACATATAAATATATAAAATGCTAGGCAATCTGCATAGTTAAAAATCATATTAAAAAATAAAAGCTTTTACTATTTAAAATTTTCTTAACTATAATATTTGAGCTTCATTTTAAATCATGCGATATATTTTTATTTCTTCTCGTACACCTTGGGTCCACAGGACCCTAGTGTCACCATTAGCAATTTTCACAAAATCGCTCGTTTCTGGGCATTTTTCAAGTTTTTAATTTTAAAAATGTATGTTGTCGTATTGTACATAAATCAAATTTTATTATCGTTTTTAATAGAACCAGTGGTCTGCTCACAGTGAGCGTTTAACCCTTTTCACTCGCAAATTCCGAGATTTATATGAATTTTGTCGCCGGAGCGGCGGCATCCGAGTGGAAAAAGTTAAAAATTGTTGAGGTCTGCTGGACCCCTTGTGTTTACCTCGGCGTACGAGAAGATTTATATTATCATTACTATTATTTACATTTTCAAGAAAATGCATTATGTTCTTATATATTTTATTTATATGTGCTAATTTCGTACATATTTTAGCATGATTTTTGAAAAAATAAATATAAAATATTAGTAATTACAAAAAAGATCTACAAAATCTATTACAATTTTTTCCCTATTAGTTCTCCTCCAATGCCTCTTTTAACAATGACCACTGAGGGTTACGGCTACGATCAATACACAAAAGATTGTACAATCCAAAGAAATGATATTCAAGAACAAGTATTTTTAAAATGGCTAAATTATCGCCTAACAAATTCTACACCTGTAGAAAATTTATTCGAGGAACTCAGAAATGGAAAAAAACTACTCACACTTGTGGAAAATTTGTCCGGTGAAAAGTTGCATGTTGAGAGAAATGTTAATAAGGTAATTGAATAAATTGTGAGAAAAAATATGAAATAGCTTTTATAATATAATAAATTAAAACCACTCATTTTTTGCTTGTGGATTTATGTAAATATGATTCACCTGATTACTGTCTGCAGCAAGATTTATTTGCATAATTATAATAATATTATTACTGGAAAACAAAATTGCAATCATGCAATGTTTAATTACATTTTCTTGTTGTTTTATGCATTTGAAGAGATTGTTGTTTGATTTGTTAGTGTTTGAATAAAAACATATGTCTAGAGGTAATTTATTGATCTAGGACAAGTATAAATGACACATTGTTATTGATCTATATTGTTGAAACGAATACAATATATATTATTTTGTTAAATAGAAGTATTTTATTAGTAAAAGCGTTAAAAAATTCTCAGATATAAAATTATTGGATTAAAATATTCAATATTTTAAATTTGATATTTATTTGGCCTAAAAAATATTAGTTATTGTATTTGATTGGCAATTTTGTCAAAACAATATTTTTAAATAATTTCATAAAATAGCAAAAAGTAAAAAGTTCAATGTGTAAATTCAGTTTAAAGCTATATATGGATTGATATTTTATAATTTATGCTGTTTTTTTTTTATAAGATTTTTTTATTACATTTAATATGAACAAATACAATCTATACATTTACAAACTGAATTTTATGCTGGTTGTATAATAATGGAAAGGACTATGGGCTGAATTAATCTCCAACTCGATTGAGGCAGTTCTATAGTATTTTATTTTTTTATTCTTCATATTATTCATAATTATTTCTAGCACGAATATAATATCTGTAATTATTAATTCCTAATAATTAATTTATTAGGACTTGATGACCGTGCAATCAGTATTAAATTTCCTAAGAGATGCCGATGTATTTTTGGGAACAATAACTGCAGCTGAAATAATGCGCGGAGAAACAAAACCTACTCTGGAATTATTGTGGAGAATTATTTTGCATTTTGAAATCGAATATAATGAAGATGATAATGATAGGGATGCTGAAAGTGGTCGGAAAATATTGATGAATTGGGCCAGAGTGACCACGGAAAGGTAAATTGTATAAAGGAAAACAAGTTTCCACAATCATTTGGCTAAAAATATCTAAGACAGGGCCAATAAAAAATAAAAAGTCTACACGATTTTTGTATAAATTCTTTCTAATATCTTTAATGAGTACGGAGTTATTTTTAATTTTTATCTCTGAATTCCGACTTGCAGATTGATAAGTCTGTTTTTTATGACCTCAATATGAAAGAAAAACATGTTCGACGTAATATTTTGTAGTGACGACCTGAAGAAGCATTTTTATAACGATAGAAATTAAGTAGATAATGCGTATATTAAAAAACACACACAACCTTAAATTTTACCTTTTTATCACAAACCCCTATTTCGTAAGAATAATTGTTGTAATTACATAATGTTTTATCTAGATTTTTGTCAATAGACTAGATTCCAATTGAGATGTTTTGAGTTTATGAATTACTCAATTATCCATAAAAAAGTAACTTTATCAACAATTGTCTAACTTTCATACTTATTTTTTTAATGTATTGGATCAATTTTCAATCAAGCATAATTATAATAAAATAAAAAGTAATTAATTATACACAATTGAACAAACTTACATTCAATATATAATAAACTACAAATGTATATTTTCATTAATAATAATAATTTTTCCTAACTTATGGGAGTAAAAATGTTAAGTAAATGTTAAATGTAGCAATTTGAAAATAATGAAAAGTAAAGTAAATTAAAATATAAATATTCAAATGAGGAACAAGTAAGAAAATTAATATTAAATAAATGAAAGAATAAATAAATGTAATGAAAAATAAACATAATATAAATAATATGAAAAATTATATTCAAGTAAAAGAAAAATAAAGTTAATTATAACAAATTAGGGGCCGTCCATTAATCACGTGAGGTTTTTAGAGGGAGAGGGGGTTTGGCAAAAAATCACGAAATATTACGTGGGGGAGGGAGGGGTATGGTAAGATATCACTTTAATTTCAAGAATACTTAAAAAAAATACAAAAATTTTAGTTGTTTCACGCAACTAAAAATACACGTGATATTTGGTGGGGGAGGGGGGGGTAATTTTGAATTTCACTATGTATCACCAATGGAGGGGGGAATAATGGACACCTTACGATATCAAAATAAACTTTAGGAGAATTGTATATTGAGGTGCCAATTCTCGGATAAAGTACAAATGTTATAGTAATGCTATGTTAGGGTCTTTTTTCGTATGATTTAGAAGTAAAAAACTATCAAAAAGCTATGTATTTGCTTTGTTATCAGGCGTTTTATACAATAAAACCTACTTCACGTGTATGGTATCAATTAAATATCACTTACAATAAAATTGTTATTTATTGTTTGTGCGTTCTGGTTAGAAAGATACAGCAAATACATAGCTTTTTGACAGTTTGTTACTACCAGTTCATACGCAATAGACTCGTAATATATCATTACAATGACATTTTTATCTTATACGAGAATTCCCATCTAAATGCGTAATCGAAAAATTAAGGACTAAATAAATATTAACCCAGAGTCATCTACAAATAACCATTATTTACTATACTCGGTCTGAATCTCAGATACTACGGAGTCCTGGTCTCCGACTTCGGCGCGTCCTGGCGCGACGGTCGCGCGTTCAACGCAATTCTTCACCGCAACCGGCCCGACTTATTCGACTGGAAGTCAGTCAGCGTCCAGACCGCCGCCGAGCGCTTGCTGACCGCCTTTCGCCTATCGGAACAGGAATGCGGGGTAATAAGACTACTAACCCCAGAAGTTGTGGACATTCATGAACCTGATGAGAGGTCCATTATGACCTATGTAGCAATGCTGAGACGGAAGTTTCCTTATCCACCTGTGAGACATCCTTTGGCTAATGAGAATTCCATTTCGAAGAAGGAGAATTTCTTCTTTTTGTCTAATGGGAGTTATTGAGTTTCAGGAATAAGAAGTATTATTTTTATAATTTTTTTGTTGTAAGTACCTTATTTTTTATTTATCTTTAATAACCACCCAGTAAACACCGGGCGGCGGTAGCAATCTGAAGTCCACATTGATTATACATGGGTGTCACACCGCCGAAGGAATGCTTGTGGATTTCAGGTTGCTGCCGACGCTCACGTCACATGATTTTTACTGGGCGCTTATACATTACCTGCATGTCATCACTTCGACAAAAAAAAAATACAAAAATATCATTGTAAATTTTATTAATGGCTTATATAAAAGTCCATTATAGTGATATACTATAGTAAAGTTATGTAGAAGTATTAACACGTTAATTGTCATGTCAGTCATATAAAAGTCCATTTAGTGCTATACTATAGTAAAGTTATCATATATGACAATATATAACAATAGTAAAGTTATCATATGTAATGGGTGTGACGTTAAAAAGTTCTACATGAGCCATATCAGACATACGTAATTTGGGAAAAAAGATTTTAAGATAGGGCCAAGTCAGTCTTATATGTGTGACATAAGAAATATTTTTCCAAGAAAATTATCTATTTTTTTTTTGGTACATCAAGTTTCCTTGATACATTAACTAATTAAAGTTAAATCTACCATGGCCCATGTAATTTTTTTTCTGTTATTATTGTGGTGATTAAAGTGTTAATATTCTTCCGGTGTTTCTATTCTTTTTACATTATCTATATTATCTATATAAATATATATATATACTGTAGAGTGTATATATACGAGGTCTGTTCAAAAAGTACCCGGAATTACTAATAATTAAATTTCGCGGGTCTGGAGTGTCTGATTGTCAAAATTTTTTTTTTATTGTGTTGGTATACATGCCCCTAAAGTATGATGAAATTTTCAGCTATATTCACTGTTTACTTTGTCTGTGGTAGTCGCTAAGGTTCGACGTGTTTTTCTGAGCTCGGCGATTTTTACAATGGAAGAATTGAAAAGTCAAAGAATTTGTATTAAATTTTGCGTAAAAAATGAAATAAAGTGTTGCAAAGTGCAAAAATTCACCAGATATGGCTCCGTGTGACTTTTTCCTATTCCCAAAGTTGAAGAGACCCATGAAAGGACGGCGGTTTTCCTCGATTGAAGAAAATCGCTGAGAGTGCTCAAGGACATATCAAAAAGTGAATATCAAGGGTGCTTCGAAAATTGGAAAAAACGCTGGCATAAGTGTATTATATCTGGGGGGGACTACTTTGAAGGGGACCACATTAATGTAGACGAATAAATAAATATTTTTTTGAAAAAACGAAAATTCCGGAAACTTTTTGAACAGACCTCGTATATACCGTTAAGCCGATCATTCTAAATACAATTTTGCATAAAACGCTGCTTAACCTTATTTCCTGCATTTTAAAAAATGTTGATTCCATCCCGCATAAGACGCTTAGTCGCATGAATTGCGTTTTGGACTGGTCCCTGAAAAATCGTCTTAACAGGTTTTGCTGTATATTAAATCTTTATTGATAAGTGACAAAACAATATCTATATCTATTGTTGTAATGTATAAATTCAAAGAATTATTTTTAAGGCAAAGTTAATTTTTTGAAAGAAAAATCTAATTTAATTGAACTAAAATAAACATGTTTTTCTTCATACCAACACAATTTTAAATGAAAATATTTGTTCATGTCATGTATGTAAAATTTGATTACTATTTTGGATTAATTAATCAGTTATATTTGATCGATATATAATGCTGATAGATATAAAATGAGTAAAATATAATTGCTATTTTTTATTAAAAATAAAGACTTTCTTTATGAATGTTTTCATTTGCATATCATAGCTGATTTTGATCAGAGAATACATTTGTAATTTTATATACTAGAATATGGCATGTGATATAAAATACTATTATATACGTTTTGAATGCCACTTGTAGTATTTTGGAAATAAATTAATTAATTCTATCCAGATTGTGAATTTATATAAAAATATCTAATGTTCAATATTGTATATATAAATAAATTTAAAGTTCAATATTGCATTAGGCTCCTAATATTAGTATTGGTCCACATTATATAGGACAGCATAATTCAAATATATCTGTGATAAGTCTCATACAATTATTTTTGGCAAAGTGCTCAATAAGATTGACTTTAATTATATCTATCCATCTATGATTAAAGGACAAGGCCAGCAATTCTATTTTTATAATATAGCAGATATTAAACTCTAATAGGAAGCCTCATAATAGTTATGAAATATCCAAGTATCACACACAGTAATCGATTTTAATAAACAAGCTCTCGTCTACAATTGTATTTTAACGAGCATCCGTCATGCTGGTCTATGAAAATGTAATATAATTATTCATAATAAATATATTCAGCTCTGATTTAAAAATATAAACAGATAACAAGCGCAATGAATGTCGTTTAGTTGAACTTCGTCCGCCGCAAACATCTGATTCTGTTTCCAGGGCATGAAACATTGTATTTGATAAAAGTTTGCCTTATCATGGATCGATGATACTAATGTAAACAGACAAAATACAAAAAATATTTCGGAAAAATACAACACATTAATCTAATTAAGTGACATGGAGGCTTGTGCATAGAAATTTATAAGGGATCAGTCTGCAGTGATGATGTTCTTGAAATAAGTGCTTTGGGTATAAAATTTTGAGGTTTTTATTGTAATTGCAATTTGTTTTGTTTGAAAATGTAAAATTAGTTTGTTTTAAAATAATGGGATTTCAATTATATCACTTATAATTTTAATAAATTGATGCTGTTTAAGTGTTGATTGATATGAGAAGATTTGTGCGAGTAAAAGTTTTATTTCAAATTTAAGCACCAGTAAATAGAAAGGTAATCAATGAAGTTTGCACAATATTTTATAATAAATAAAATATCAGCATTTCTGAAATGTACACTTTTGTTGTAAAATATACGTTATGCACTTGTTCCATTCAAACGGTGTTAAAGATGTTCAAACATTGATCTTGATGCTCAGGAATGCAAACGTTTTTTTATAAATTATATTTTTTTAAAAACTTAACATTCTATTAAAAATATAATAAGGATTGATCTTGCATTCTACATATATCTTTAATAAGATATGGGTTTAATTATGGCTTAAAAATGTGTTAAAAATATAATTTTTTGTCAAAATGATTATTAGAATTTTAATTATTTTTATTAAATCCATAGTCAATTGAAAATTGTTAGCAAAACAGCTATTATAGTTTGACAAACACTGGTAAATATTTTTGAATCGATGAGTACTTATTACTTTCAAATCATAATTTATTTAAAATCATCTCTGTGAGGACGAATATTAAAAAATAATTACGTATAATTATCACTATTAATATTTTTAACAATATTTACATAGTCAAAAAAAAGTACCTAATAAAAAAAACTTTATAAGCTGTTGTGCTGATTATTATTTTTAAAACACAGAAAATTTACGCTCAGCAATTTTGAACTTATTAAATTGCATAATTTTAATTACATAAGTGTTGCATTTGATTTGTTTACTTATATTAAATATGCATATTCATGAATTTTATAAATAACTTCTTATAAAATTAAATATGTTGATTTTAATATAATTATTACATCAAGTCGTAAAAATTAGGTGGATATTCTATTAAAAATAGATTATTTATTTATATTAATCGATAAACAATAAAAACAAATACACTCTTGTTATTTTGAACTTTGAATTTACCGTCAGACTTTTCATAGATATCACATCACAGTAAACTTTGTACACCACAAAACAAATGATTCAGTTAATTTTTATACATCAGAATTAATTTTTGATATTTTTTTATTAAAGTTTTAAGCATCATGTCGTTCTGTTTGCGGAGATTGAATTTTAAAAGTGACGGTTTGCGTTTGGCAAATGTACGGTTTAGTGAAATGTATACTAAAACAAGGAAGAATTTGAATATCACAAAGGAAACTAAACTTATGGTCCAAGGATTTACAGGAAAACAGGCTACTTTTCATTGCAAGGCAGCTATAGAATATGGGACAAAAGTTGTGGGAGGTGTTAATCCAAAGAAAGCAGGTGAGGATATTTGTTATCAAGTTTTCCTTGATACAATAATTTAATAGATGTCTAATTTTTTCTTGTTGAACTATAGGTACGAAGCATTTAGACTTACCAGTTTTTGCATCTGTAAAAGAATGTAAAGATGCAACCAAAGCTGATGCTACTGTTATATATGTGCCACCGCCTTCGGCAGCAAAAGCTATTATGGAAGCTCTTGATGCTGAGGTAATATAATTAAAAAAAATAATTTTTTACCATAGAATATACAATAAGAAATTGTATTGTTTTCAAAATATACGAAAATACTACTAAATTCTAAAGTGAAACATAGCATTATTTACCATTGAGCCCATCGTAGTGTAATACTTAACTATACACTACGATGGGCAACTACTTTGGATGTGATCAATCAAATTTGATTTTTTTTTGATTTACTGTTATTTTTTATATTTTGTCCAGATCGGTTTAATAGTCTGTATCACTGAAGGAATACCTCAACACGATATGGTTAAAGTAAAATATAGACTTGAAAGACAAGATAAATCCCGTTTAATTGGTCCTAATTGTCCTGGAATCATAGCACCAGAATGGTGCAAAATTGGCATCATGCCAGGAGATATTCACAAAAGAGGATCAATTGGCGTTGTTTCTAGGTAAGGACAATTTTATGACAAAAAAAAACAGACATAAGTATTTTTTGTGTAACTATTTTCTAGATCAGGCACATTAACTTACGAAGCAGTAAACCAAACAACGGTTGCTGGTCTTGGTCAAACATTGTGTGTTGGAATCGGCGGCGATCCATTCAATGGAACAAATTTTATCGACTGCCTCGATCTCTTTATCCAAGACAAAGATTGCAAAGGAATTGTCTTGATTGGAGAAATCGGAGGATCAGCTGAAGAAGATGCTGCTGAATTTCTGATGGCCCATAATAAAGGATGTGAGGCTAAACCTGTGGTGTCTTTTATAGCAGGATTGACGGCTCCTCCAGGTCGAAGGATGGGGCATGCTGGTGCGATTATTTCAGGAGGAAAGGGTACTGCTCAGGATAAAATTAAGGCGCTTAATGCTGCAGGTGTTGTTGTTACGCCAAGTCCCGCCGAAATGGGTAATGTGATGAAAAAAGAAATGAAGAAGAGGGAACTTATATAGTAATTAAAATAGGTTTTAGAAAATGTTGAGTGTTGTTAATTTTATGCGTGTCTTTTTTAAGTTAAAATGGCTGTCTTCAATTTTTGCATATTAAACTTTAATTTATAGCTCCTAATTTATTGTCGTGCCTATACAAATCAATTTACTGACTAAAATATATCATATTTTAAAATAAAGTTCTCATCTGAAATCGTATTAATATTAGCTCCATATTCTTATTGTCGGTTATTTATATTTTTTTTTATTTTTTAAAAAAAAAAATTTTAATTATAATATCAAAAATTTTCTTCAAAAATAATATTTATCAAATTATTTTTACTAGATGATAGAAAGTATTAAAATTCATATGTAAATGAATATAATAAATATATATATATATAATTATAAAAATAAATTTCATAAAATTGTGTATTCTCAAAAAACTTATTAGGTAATATTTACAAAAATAAATTAAAAAAAAAGAAAACAAAATTGAAAAAAAGTAAATTGTCAATAAACATAAGTACCGATGTCATGTAGATTACTAATTCGGCTCTGACTGACACAAATACAGATTATATAACTTTAAATCCACATAGAAAGATTAATTCAAAATCCATTTCTTCAAAATTGAAACCTAAATAATTAACAGATTTTTGTCCATCAAAACAACTACAGTTCGGTTAATATAATTCAGTATATTATCAATTCAATATATATAAATACAGTTCAATGTACACGAAATCAGTTTGTCTTTTCATACTACTAAGTATTTATCACACTCAGTTTTATTATAAATCGGATGACTAAATTTTAACATTTTGGAAAATGTTAAATGATGAAATTGCAGAGGGTATATTATACATAAAAGGCTAATCTAATTCAATTTGCTAATACATATTCTAAATTATTTTGCCTATAAAAATATAGATATAACACTACACACAATTTACAAATGCGAAATAACTAAATATATATGATGAAAAATAATCACATATGGCGAATGAAATACAACTATGTAATTTGTGCTTCTTATTTTCAATTATATATATATATATATATATATATATATATATAATTAAAATTTATATTTAACAACTTTTGTGTATAAATAGTTTATACAAAATATTTTACCATGCTCAAACTATAATCAGTAATATAGGATACACTTGCAGATAGTTTATAAAATTCTTTTTTAATTTGGTTTTCAAATTGCAATTTGTATTTAAATGTAACGCTTTTTGAAGAGAACCAAATTTTAAACATGTCGAAATAATATTATATCGATAAATATATCTAAACAATTAATGTTTGCCACAATAACGGTATTTACTAAGGTTATATTCATACCATAAGTTATCCATTAAAACTAGTCGTACCTAAATTTTTGTGTTCGTCACAAAAATTGACTAAATACTGCATGATAGCAGACGGAGGACTTGTATATATTATTTGTGTGATTTTTGTGAGTGTAGTTTGGTGATTTATTTTACAAATTTTACTTTCGAAGACATTTTCGATCAGTATGTGGAAGTGCAAAATTAAAATGTCTCTGATTTTTCTTACCACCAATGGATTTAAAGGTATGTAATACGAATTAGATTTATTTTTTAATATAAAACACACGAGTCCATAATCATGACATCGTCTAAATTTTTGATAACGTCATTATTAATGACAGCGTTTTAATTTTATTTTAAACTAATTTTGTATGTTACAGTATATCAAAAATAAGTAGTTGATGCTTTTGAAACAGAAATTAATTAATCACAATGATCAGTATATTTAACAAAAATCTTGTGAATATATATGCATATTGAAACTGAAGACAGTATACTTTTTACTGTTGTATGAAAATGTACGAAGGCGTTTTTTACGTAAGAAATCAAATAATTATGTAATTTTATATAGTCATACAATTATCATAACAATTATTTGTGAAGAAAATTATTTTTCATGGTATTTCTGTGTCAATTAAAATTTCTTCTGAAACTAAAATAAATAAAAATTAAGTCAAATCACATTTATATTATAAATTTGCTAGAGTAGTGCATTTTTTGATAAAATTCTGTGCCAAATGCAGCATGATACTATTCCATTTATCTTTTGCAATAAACAAACAGACGGGCTCCATATTGTTTAATTTGGAATTAATTTGGATATTTTAAATACGTGATAAAAATGATTATATAACTGAAATTACATATTGTAAAGCCATAAAATATTATGAACTATATTGATATTGATACTTCTATTAAAAATTGATAATCTTAATGAAAGTTCTATTCATATTTCGTGTTCATGTGGCTATAAAACCTGTGAAATCTATGTATAAAATATGCCCTGAATAGATTTTAATTTAATTTTTAAATTATATATGTATATGTATATCCTTAGTACATATATACAAAGTCTTTGCTTTACAAATTCTACTGTTTTTGTGGAAAATTTTTGTTTTTGGGATATAATTTTGATCCCCATGATGTTAAAATTTGAATAAAATTTATATTATTCTTAAATCTCCAGTATCTCACGTCCATAACTATTTTGCAGTATTCATGGTAATCAATTTTTGTTAATATAAATGCACACAAAAATACTATATGAAATTGTACACGCCTTTTGTTTATTATATGTCGATGACGATTTTTGGCGCACATTTGGTGCAAATTCTATGTTTCTAGATCACAAATGTTGAGTTAACAAAAAAAAGTAAATTTTTAAAAATTAAATGATATTTTAATGTCAATCTGGGGTAGAAGAAAAAATAGTCATACTGTCGAGAATCAAAATTGAAAGTTTATGAGTTTTGTAATTTTTGTTATTTTAAATTTGTTCATGCCCAGATTCACATCATTTGCATTGACTTAACTGAATTAATCTTTTTACTGTGAAAATGGTTGATATAACTATTTAACAAAAATGATTTTTGATTTTATATCAATATTCTTTGTTTTAATTAAAGTAGACACGATACAAACATTTACATACATAGTAATTGCTAAATAATTTTTGTGTCACCTGTATTTCTAGGTTTTAATTAACAACTAGCATTTATTGTTCTCTTGACTTATTCTATTAAGGTTTACACGTTTAGCAGAAATATAATCAATCTCAAAGATATGTTCAAAAAGTTCATATATCATTAATAAGTACAGTCTCTAAATTTAAGGACATCTGGGGCAGTAGTTTTAAATCTAATTTTGAGTTTTTTTTAGTTTTTGAACAATATTTTAGGAGTGTGATTTTGAACATATTTCGGTATAGGGAATATGCAAGGCAAATAAAATACTTTGAGAGCAACATTAAAAAAATATTTATGAAAGAATTTAGTTTTTAATCACTGTAAAGCCGAATCTTGATATCAAACAATGGTCTTCATAGATCGTTTAATTTTTTTTTGGATCCACATACAACAGTTTAATATTTTTGTGTTATTTTAGGATACTTTGTTATAAATTTATTCACCCAGCTTCACAGATGTAATAATATAGTTTACCATTGCATATCCCCAGTTGTTTTAAAATAATTTCAACAATACATGAAAAAATACTGTTTTTATTACGATCAAGTTTTATGAGCATTTGAATAAATCATGGTCAAGTTTAAAATTAATTAATTAAATAAAATTTCTAAAAATACAAAATATGGTTCTAAATCTAATTCAATTCAACAACCATCATAATTATATGATAATACTTCATCAATCCACTTATCTCAATGTTAGAATCAGTCTTGTAATATACACGATACGAAAAAAAATGATGCGGATTTAGATTTTGTAATAAAAACACCGCGTTGGATTTTTCAAAGATTTATCCGCATCAGAAATAATTTTTGTTGTTAGTTTTTTAATTTTTTAGACTTCCATTTCTTGGTATGTCTATCACCACGGTTTCAGGTGAATCTTTTATGTCCAACTCGGTTTGGCGAGGTACGACGTGCCCGTTACTTAATACTGGTGATCTGTCGTTCTGGAAAATAAAAAATAATATTTAAAATTATTATTAATTGATAAATTATTTGAACATTTATTTATGATATTACTTGATAAATAGCTGCTGCATCACAAGCCATAAGTTCCTTTTTGGACAAATGTTCGACAATTGCAGCTGCATAACAATCACCCAACATGTTGTTCGTTGTTCGCACTCGGTCTCTGTAAATTTTTAATGAAAACTGGTAAATTTGCAACAACTACGTGGTTCCAAATAGTTACTGAAGTATAACTTTTATGAATGTTGATTTTATGTTGTAATCGATCTTTATACTTACACAAACCAATCGATGGCAAATAATAAACTGACGTCTTGAATTGGTGCATTGATCGCCGTCAACACCATGAGCAGAAGAACTAACGCAGCCGATGGCACGGACGCCGAAGACATTGATGCAGCAGTCGATGTTAAACTAATTTATATAAAATAAAATTATTAATGGTTAATTAACTTTGTCGATCACAAAAATCTTGCGACTATAATAATAATTGCAATTTCACAAGTTGTTAATATTATCTATAACAATTATCAAATAATTTAACTAACGTGATTCTAAATATAAAAAATATAAAGACTTTTGAAGTAAAACTTCTTTAGGCGCAACTAGAATGTAAATCTGTACAAATGCAATGGAAGTGCGTTACGGCAGATAAGATAAGAGTCGAGTGCCAATGATTCGTCATTCGCTCTTGACTTCATTTCTATACGGGTCGATTAGTCGTCGCGTATGTGAATAGAGATCTGTCGTTGTATGCGTACCGGCATCAACGTTGTATGCGTATCGATATCAATAAGGAAATCGACATAAATAGATAAATAAACATTTTAAAATTACATCATAGTACAAATCTTGACCAATCACAGCGCTACGGTGGTCTAGGGGTTAAGGTCTCTGCCTGCCACGCAGAGGACTCGGGTTCGATTTTCGGTAGGGTTCGAAAAAATTACGTTTAAGAAAAATTATAGTCTTAAGATAAGAAATAATATTGGGTGTATTATGTATATAGGGTTGTAGGCGTATTAGGCGTACTATATAGTTAATTAAAAGGCGTACAACATAGAATTTAAGGTTTAGGCATACGTGAATATGAAATAGGTATCTTACAAGAAATACAAGTTCTATGATTATCGTTAGCAGAATTTTGATACGGGTACTGTATAAAATTCATTTTTATCCTTATAACAACTCTTTAAATATTATTTTATTCATGGCAAATAAAAGAAGTACGTGACATACCTGAACATTTAATTTTTGCAGCCACGAGTACACGTTTTGCAGTTTATTAAATAATTTAATTTCAAAATAGGTATTGTTGAACTAAGAAAACAAAAATAATATTTTGCTTAAATATACAATTTATATTTTTTTACCAATATAAAAGTATTTGCCAATATACATGTGCAGGATTGTCCCAGAACTCAACCAACATGTTCGTCTTTATGTTTGTTCATCACGTTTTTTTTTGATAAATTTATGAAATAAACATTATAAGAACCATGTAAATATATAATTTATAATTTATTATTATATAAATGTGTATAATGGTCGACACTAATAAATGTGTGCATCACGAGTGTTACCATAATACTAATAAACATTATTCAAAATTGTTATATGATGTATTTATTAAATAAGTTTTACTTCAATCGCGTGTGAACCTTATGCGTACTCTTTTTTTATTAAATTAAATTTTTATTCATAGTTTATTCATCATATGCTTTAAGTATAAAATATACATTACATAAAGATATATTTTATTTTATAAAATAGCAAATAAAAGATTTTATTACTAACAACATGATTTGAAAATTATATGATTAAGGTCCATACGTCATGTTCCTGCGTGTAAATTAAAATTCTTTAGAAGTATTCATTTTTAATATTTCATTCATCATTTCTTTATGAATTAACTTTTTGACGATAGAACAATTACGTTTTTCAAAAGCACATGGTATTTTAAATAGCCTTTCAGAAATCAAAATTTTAAATAATTACTTGAGGGTAACAATTAAGTTCATTTCTTTGGAAAAGATTTTCCCCACCTTCAATGTTTTTTTTATAATAAATCACGTTTCTATTTTTCCTTTATTTTATTTTTGCAATTTTTCAACCTAAGATTGCTAAAATCAGAATTACTTGCTTTTTAAGAACAAATAGTATTTTAAAGGGGTAGGGGGTATTTACGTATGTTTTTCTTATTATGGCAACTCAAATAGTTGCCTCATCTATGTATGATTGGGCTTATTAGACGTATAAATTATTAGCACAATTTTAGTAACAGGGCGAATATTTTTTGATGCAGCAATGCTGGATAAGGGCTATTTTTTCTTGAAAATATATTGCTATCTATAATTTTAAATGGAGACCGTTGTCGCAAATGCTTGAATACAAACTGCTTAAAGGGGAATCGAACCCGGGACCTGATTCTCTAGCCACTTATCTATGAGCAAACCCAATGAAATCATAAATGGACTTTAAATGCCAATAAATAAGTGCAAAATATGTACTAAATAATATTTTCAGTCTATTGTAATACTTCAATTACTAAAATTCAATATCAAATTACAATTTTAATTATCTACTAATTACTTTACTCACCAAACTGTTACAATCTCTCCAAATCCTAAATAAATTCCATTCATCTGAGCGATAAATATCGAGGCGACGGCCACGAAAAGGGCTGTTCCGTCCATGTTGATGTTGCACCCGATCGGCAGGACAAACCGCGTTATCCTCTTGTCCACGTGCAGGCGCTCGTGCATACTTCGGAACGTAACCGGCAAAGCAGCGGCCCTGAAAATTAGTAGCATTTTGAATAATAGACTCATTAATAGAGATATAATACATAATACTTTTTATTGTTTACTTAACTCTCAGTGGGGTAAGTTATATTAATCGTCCAATAATCGAAGGTTTCAAAGGTTTCGAAGTTGAACAGTTTAGCATAACTTAGAAAAAATGAAAGTGTGCATGTATGTGTGGATAGAATTTGTCGTCCACATTTAAAAAAAAATTTTCCAACAATATTTGTTTTTTTTGTTAAATATCTGACTGAGATTATTCTGATTTCAATTTAAATTCAAGTTAAAAAAGTTTTAAAAGTTTCTAGCAAAATGTCTTAAGGCAGGATGCCATGCAACACTAGTCTTAATATTTATAGCCAATGTTGATGTTGCATTGAATAAACTTTTAGAAGACATAGCAATCACTGGATTAAAATGTGAATCGAATAATCTGCGTTCTCAAAAAACTGTCATTAACACAGCGACATATGATTTCTTATATACATATTTTTTACCGCTGAACACGAATCTAATGTCGAAATTTGAGGTCGAATAGCAAGAAATAACTAGCTGTGAGTGGAATTCTGTCTTGAGGCAATTATGGCATCGTGCCTTAAGGCAAATTGCTGGAACTTCCCGTACCGTAACGAAATGTTTGAGGAATACTGAATGTTTTCAAATAGATTATTATAAATATTGTAACATTGTCTAATATTTATGAGAATTATATAAACTGAATTGCAAAGTTGAAATTATTTGTAAAGTATATTAGAATTATAGTCAGAATTAAAAATAAAATCTGAAATATTTTCGATATACAAAAAACTAAAAAAAAAAAAAACAAAAAAAAAAAAAATTGGAACAGAATTTTTTTTTCCAAAATCAATTATTTTATTAAGACAAGCAGAAAGTTCTTTGAATCATTTAAATCGGACGCTTAGTTCTCTCAAAACTGCCATTTTTTACATATTCAGCTCCGTATCTTCGAAATGGCTGCGCCTGCCTTTGCCAAAAACTAATATGCACTTCTCCCAATAATTACTAATTGAATGTTTTTTAGATCATTCAAATCGGATACTCCGTTCTCTCAAAAATTCGATTTCTATTTTCTGCACTCTTTGCTTCGTATCTCCGAAACGGCTGGACCTGCCTTTGCCAAAAACTAATCAGCTCTTTTCCCTATCAATAGGAATCGAATGTTTTTTGAACCATTCAAATCGGTTGATCCGTGCGCCCTAAAACGTGACTGGAAATTTGTATCCATACATACATACACACACACACACACATACACACACACACACATCCATTTTTTCTGAGGTATGCCAAAACGTTCAGAAACCTTCAAAACGTCGAGAAATGTTAAAATTTTCAATTCCGATTTTCGGCCCATTACAATAACTTACCCTACGGGAAGTTAAAAAAATGATAAAATCTCCGATCTAGATTTTTTTCTGCATCATAATTAAAAATTTATAATATATGTCGTTTCCTTTCCGTGGCAAGGAAGAAATTGAAAGAAAATTAAGAAACAAAATCTCCGATTAGAAATTTTTCTGCATGAACATTACAATTTTAAAATTTCTGATGTTTCCTAGTCCTTTAATCCCTGAATAACCTGTTCAACGAATTTCTGCAATGCTTTTTGCATCTCCTTTAGTAATAAGTACATTATTAAATATAGCATTGATTGAGAGTAATGATAGTATTGACTTTTTGTCCTGAATAAATTCAGAAAAAAAGACTCAGGTTGTTTGAAAGTTATGAGCTTTTAAGTATAACTTAGAGCTTTGGTAATATTACGACATTTTTTTCTGTTATTGTGGTTAATTTTTATTCGTTTTGTTTATTTAAACTTGGGAACCGTAACCGTGAATGACATTTCTAGGTTCACAGACGAAACTAATAAAACAATTGTCACGAGTTTTTAAGAATTATGACTTTTTTTTTAACTATGAACTTAAATATTTTAAAACCGATCAACTTTGAAAAGCCCTTTATTAAAAAAAAAGTACGAAAGAATGTTGGCACGTTTAATAAAAAAATTGGAGCATTTAATCAGGATTGTAATACTTTTTTTATTATCTCTCTTATCTACTACTGTCCGTTTAAGGACATTTAATTAATTTGTCGAATTTACAATAGTCGGCGATAAAGTAACATTGTTTATTAAAGGGGCATGTTGGAAAAATGCCCCTTTAGTAAACAACTCAATAGTTATTTTTCCATTCGATATACTTGATTTTGTCCAAGTTTGCGTCTATATCAAATATTTGCAAAATCTAAAATAAACTATCAAAAATCTTGTTCTTTGCTTGTTGAATTACTATTCTTATACTCGAAATTTTTCAATAATAAAATTATCAAGTATTTCACCATTTTACAAGTATTTTAAATTTTTAATTAAATGTAAAATTAGAGTATATTTAACAGCTTTGTAACGTTCTTTTCCTAAAAAGAAAGAGCTCAAACTGAACATACAAAAATAAAATAAAATAATCGACACAAAATTTTCCATTATAAAAACTAATCAATCTCCTGTCATTGTCATCTGATGTGCCTCGTATATTATATTTCGCTCAAATGTTTGTACTAAAACCATAAAAAACTCAAGATTTTTTCCATAGCATGTTTTCTAAGCTTTGACACTTTTTATTATAATTTTTATGACAAAGAAATGTCAATGTTGAAAAATTTTCCCGGCTTTCGCACACGACGAGGTTAAAGAACTTCGAATCATCATTTTGAAATAGAAACACTATGACAGAAAATTGGCTTAGGCCGACATTTTGCCAGACACGTGCTAGTAAAACTAATTTAGTATTCACTGTAAGTTATGTCTTTGGCAAATTCTTGATTTAAAACGATTTGCTGTCAGTTATCATGTTCCAAAGAGAGCACGTTTACTTGTTATTTATTTATTGACCGATACGATTGATTTCAGATTGCGAAAATAGTTTGGCAGGTCTGTACTCCGAAAAAAAATCGGTCACAGTTCATAAAAATAGCTGGTTTAATTAAAGATGTATGGTAGTTTTTTCAAATACATATTTAATTAGGAAACTTGGATCGATTTCAATAATCTTGGCGTTGTTTGTTGATATAATTAATTGTTGCATTTGGTGTCTGCATTTTTGTTTCGAACCTCTATGGTCTAAGGGTTGGAACAAGAGGTAAAATTTGAAAATAAGATAAAATTTTTAAATTCATGACTTTTAATTGTATGGTTTTCGAACAGTTTTGGTACTTTATTTAAATAAGTTTAAATCCCTATAAAAACTAGGTATAACTAATATTTTGCCTTAACTAATGCGGTATGTATTGACAAAAATTCACAAAATATCACGTGAACGAGTATAGTAAGATATCACGTATATTTATTTTTTACCATATTTTCTTTAAAAAAATCGACACATTTTCAATTTTCAAAAAAATCGACATTTAACAAATTTTTTTCTCTAGTAAAAATACACAAATTTTAAAATCTTCATTAATTAAAAAAACCGAACGGCTAGTCATATCCGTGCGGAGTCATATTGGGGCGGAGTTGGGGTTTAAGATAAAAAAAAACTCGAAGTTGTTTACGGCCGGAGTCATATTCGACCGGAGTTAAATCTGGGCAAAGTTATATCCGGGCGGGTTCAAATCCGGCCGGAGTTATTTTCGCTATATGGACTACAAAAAACTAACTTGATAAAATTTATTAGTAGTTTATCAGGGCTTGTGCATTAATCACGTGTAGTATTTATGGGGTGGGGGGGTTTTACGAAATATCACGTGGATTTTTACCTATTTTTTTTCTAAATCCAAACATTTAAAAAAAAATCAAAAGTTTTACAATTTTTCTGCAAATACACGTTATGTTTGATGGGGGGGGGGTATTTGGGAATTTTACCACGTATCACCAACGAGGAGGAGGGTCCAAAAATCTTTAGAAAATTCACCGCGTGATTAGTAGATGTCTCCTAATATATGAAGTACCTATTGCTCTTGGACTAATCGAATATATTTTTCTCTTGCTACTTTCCTTATATTATTTAAAAAAATCTAATTTAAGATATCTGTGACATAAACTGCCTGAATATATGTAATATAATGATAATGATAATAATAGCTAGTAGCTCAAAGTATAAATGATAAAAATATTTGAATAAAATATGTTTTAACAACTTACGTGGATGCAGTGGCGAAAGCTGTCAGCATCGGCTGCACCAATCCAAAGTAGAATTTATAAGGATTCTTTCTCACGAATAGGAAGTACAGTAGTTGCATCACGACCAGCTGGTAAAAGAAAACTCCTACCACAATCGTAGCAATGAACCAGGCTAATTGAGACATCACCAGACCTACGAACAGATTTAATCAATATATACACCCGAAATCTTTTCGAAATTCAATCCCACAAAAATTAACACATCTCTCTGCGAAGAAGCCTGTAAAGTTCCGTAGAAAAAAAGCAAGAAAAACAACAAAAAATCTGGTAGCAACAAAAATATAAAAATGTCTCCTGCTGCTGAGAACTGAAAATTTTGATCTCGTGGTAATGAAACTAAAAGTGTATGGAAATTAAAATCAGAGTTCTTCCATCTGAAATTGATGAGAAATTAAAAATAAAAATTAGTTGAAATACTTACCCAGCAAATTGATTAAACATGAGCAAATTTACATCTCAAGACAAATCCTACAGCTGTTTCAAGCTGTTAAGCCTATAATATTTGTGGAAGTTGATAGTAAAACACGTGTACACGATTATAAATAGTTGTTTTCTGTAAAAACATGAATTTTCTTCGGAAATTTTGGATACAAAAATAAAAAACACTTCGTTAATTTGTAGAAAAAGAAACAAATAAATTTTCGTCTCAAGGTTACATAGTATTTTCTAGCCGGTTGATGAATTATTAAAAAGTTAGAGGATTTAATAGTGTATTATTTCGGTATTTTTCGTTTAGATTTTGACGATAAAAATAATCAATATAAAGAGCGAGTTGCCACGCACGATTTTCTTAATCTAGACTGTTGTTTACGGATGATTTATGTCTTCAAAAAAATAATTAATATTTATTTACTTAATAAATGTAAATGAATATTGCTTTTTTTAAATATTTGGCGTCATATTGAAAATCTACTCGAGCTTAATAAATTCTAAATTTTAAAGAACGACATTCGTTGCATATTTTCATGTGGAACAGTAATAATAAAAAACAATATTTGTTGCTTAAAAATAAACTTATTTAAGTTATAAGCTTAAATAAGTTCATTATTTTCTATATCTTCATCAATCACTTAAATTAACGTTTATTGCTTGATTTCTATTTGAATTATCATTTTTGCAACTATTTGTTTTTTATAAACACTTTATCATTTCCGATTTTTTTTTGAATAATTGTGCAGCTAATTTCAACAATCAGTCGATGTCTACAGTAAAAAAACAGAACTACTTGAAAAAAAATCATGAAAATTATTTTTTTTAATATTTAAGATATTAAATTGATATTTAAAACGTTTAGTTGTACTGCTGATCAAATATTAGCCTGAATAGGTTCTTGGTGTAAATGAAACTAGAAATGCGCTATACACCCGATCAATACATGTTTAATTATTTGATTATTAAAAAAAATTGCCACCGATTCAAAATTTAGTATTGAATTAATCTCGACTCTATTAATTTTATTCTTCGTCGAGTGATTTTTCTATATATTCGACATACGTTTGAAAACAAATTCCCTCATGTCCTGTAAGAAATGTTATTTGTTAGACGTATTAAAAAACAAGCCACCATTTACAATACAACTTAACAAAAAGAACTTGATACAAAAATTATCTGAAAATACAAAGTGTACAAAAATATAATAATTCCTATAAATATCCTAGTTTATCACAGTGTTTTGATGGATTTCGTCCTGGATAACAAATCTATAGAGCTGAATCCATGTTAAATAATGAATCGGTGATCCAATTGTTAATTTATGCCTTCTGATGTGTTTGTTACGTACCTCTTGGAGATGAAGAAGTTTATTTATTCTCTCTCTGATCACACTCCACATCCTATCAATTACATATTAATCATTTAGTGCCTTGTCCACTCGCCATGCACTTCGTAAATGATCAGATATAAAATCATATTTATGGGCAAAGGACATCGATATATTAATAAGTAGAGAATATGATTAATATCCGAGATTTATTAGCTTTTTGGCTATAAATGAAGTCTTTGCTTACTTTGTTTGATATATCCGATGTCCTTTGATTGGATTTTGTAGGAAATTTGAAGAGTTCAATCAACTGGTAAATGTTTGTAGGGTTTGACCAGTACAGATTTATCTATACACGTGCTAAAATCATTACAATATGTATTTTTAGGTTAGAAATAAAAGAAAAAAAATCAGGACGATCTTACTGAATTTTTGTTATAATTTTTATGATTTCAATAAAATGTTGCTCTAATCTGCTAATCATATAGAAACGGTTCTTCCTATCGCCTTAATAAACTAATTAACTAATTAAATTATTGACTTAAAATTCGACATGAATACACCCACGTACTTTATTTCAATTTTAGTGTCAAAGGTTTCAGAACGACATAAAGCATCGACAAACCATAAAATTAGCAAATTGTATTTTCTGGCCAATGTCAAAACATATTCAATTTTTCAAATTTCCTACAAAACCATTAAAACTATCTACAAAAATACAACAAAACAAAATCAAAAAATAAAATAAAACATCATCACATCAACATTTGCTCACCGAGGTCCTCGACGCCCAATATTTTTCCGGCGATGACGCTACTGATGCCAATTGGTGTCAGCCACATGACTCCGGTCACCATTTTCATGACGACTTCAAAAATGGCACCAAAGAAATCGATCACGACTTGACCTTTCTGTCCAAGTGTTCCCAGTAAAGTGCCGAAAACTAGGCAAAAGAACACGATGCCCAAAGTGTTAGTACCAGTCCTAAAAAAAAAGTAAAATTGATATTAATTTCGACGAATTATTTTTTTGAAAGTTATATTTCGATTTTATATCATTACTTTATTTCTGTAATTTTATATTAATATTTTGTTATCGATAATGAACCTATAGAATGAAGATGCCACACTGTGAATCATTTATCATATTTTAAAAATTAAATTATTTCCATTTTTTTTCAATTTTGTAAAAAAACATATTTTTCATGAATCAGTAATTTAAAAAATTGCAATATGATTTTTTTATAATTATAAAAATGTCTTAATATAATTGCTTAACCAGTGTTAATTCCTTAACCAAACGCAATATTCAATGAAATAGTAAACACTTTTTTCTTCAAGGAAAATTTTTTGTAGGTTTTTACATTATATTATAATAATATGTTTATTCACATATTTCATATTATATAAAAAAATTTTTTAAATAATCTTACACTCATTCATACAGAATTTATCGAATTCATTGTAAAACGAATTTTTATTAATTTGTCATATAATTACTTTAATTTTGGTATATTGTAATTATTTTAAAGTAATAGTTATGTAATGTAAAAGTATGAAATTCAAACGATAAAAAATACTTAAGGCAACAATTATACTTAAAGCTTTATTTTTTCTAAATCATTGTCATGCTTTATAAAATTATATACTTATAGAGAAATATAATAGCAATCAGAGTAATCGATATTTCTGAAAGCCTTTGAAAAGTTAGAAAATACATTTATGAATCCAATTATATACAAACTTTACAATTACTCATTTCATATTATATTAACCAGCAAAAGTAGTTCGATTAAACTACTACGTTGTTAGTAAAGTTCTGGTTAGTCAAACTTTTTCATAATAATTAAATATTACAGAAAATTAAATATAACAAAAATATAAAATGTTCATTTAGTAGTAAAAATGCTGTATATGTATTACATGCCTTAGTTATTAATACATGTGCTTATGTAAAATGTTTTTGTATAGAATATTTGATGATTTTCATATGTTTCCTCTGACTTATTATAAATTTTATTCGAGAATTTATTAATATTCAATAACAAGGGAATGAATTTAAGTAATAAATATAAATGAATAATAAAATGATTATATATTATTTCGTTCCTTTAGAAAAGCAACCGAATATGTGAATGAGTTTATAGAGTATAATATAATTCAATCCATTTTCGTTCAATCTGATAATCATTATTCGAATTTGTGAAATATTTGTTTGCTCAAATATATAAATATATATATATATATATATATATATATATATATATATATATATATATTCGAATGTATTAAAAAAAAACTTGAATAAATAGTAAAGTCCATTCAGTAACTCGTTGATCGCGTGCTTCTAATATGTTTTCGTGATTATTATTAGCATGCTCAATGTTAAGCTAAAATCTAGATTTAGCAAATAGCGGGTCATTTAGCACTACATGTCTATAAAATATGCACATATAAACGAGATATTCTAACCGAAGTATTGATATTTTAAATTATATGCATTAACACTTTACACACGTTTTGTAAATTCAAAATTATACCACATAATGAACAGGAAAACGTATGTGATAATTTATGAGTAAAAATATAGTCGAACACCAAGTTGGATCATGTAAGCTGGTAAAATTAATATTTTATAAAAAAATATATTTATAATTTGTTTGTTGCTTGGACCAGATTTCTTAAATAAGTTTTTAAATTTTATAACAACTATTAATTTAAAATTGTTCTTGGAACGAAGTGCAAACTTGGCAAAGATTAATTCTAAAGGCAAATGAAATCAAAACAATACTGAGAATTTAAATACGTTTAGATGTTCTTCATTGAATGACATGATCATTAGAAATAATGGAAGTACTTGAGCGAGGGGATTTTCTCATGCATATCAAGTAGTAATGAATATTTAATACGATGCTGTAACTTTTGTATTTATTATTGTTATATATATATATATATATATATATATATATATATAAACGTATTCTTCTATTTGTTGTTAATTTATTGCTAATCGCAATTTTAACACACCATTTGATGCATAGACAGTGTGGAAATTTATATATCATTATTTAAATAACATATTTCTTATAATTACAGAATAATATTAAGAATTTTTTTGAGCAATAATAAAAAGTAGAGACTTTTTCGGTGAATAATTTTGAATGCAATAAAAATGAAAAATTTTGTGAAAACATAATCATTAAAACATAAAAATTAATAAAACTATACCTGGAAGAGCAGTCACAAATATAAACTCATTACGTTTACTAAAATTCTGCATGTAGATTTAAGATTTTAAGATTTTACCTCTAATTAATACGTAAGTAATAAGCATTTTAATGGTAAATCAATTTATAATCAAAACCTTGTAAGTATATATGGATTTATACTCAAGCTAAATATGTGCAATAATCTGTTTTTTTCGTATTGAAAGACAAATTTATAATAAGAAAATAATAGAAAGATACGAATTTTCTTAAGGTATTGTAGATAAAGTATCTAATATGCACGCACTTTTGGTGCCTACTTAAAGTAAATAATATAGAAATTATAAAATATTTAAAACAAATTATTAATAATAAAAATATTTCAAAGGAATTTTCAACATCATTGGTCTATATTAATATCTCTGAGAATGCCGATGTTACGGCTATGTTCACTCTATAAAAAAATTAATTATTATTATCATTGTCTTCTATTTTATTTTTTATCTTTGTATCCTAGTTGATACAGATAAAGTATTTTAATCTTTGACAAATGTGAATTTTGTTCCTAATATATTTTATTCCAAATTCTAATATGTTTTGATTCCAAATCGTTATACAATATGTAAAAATAGTGCAAAAGTTACAAACTTATTTATAAAATTTGTTTTTGTGGGAAAAATTAATCTTGTGCTTTGTAATGGATGCCAAAACATGTTTCTATTAAGTCAACTACGTAATCATGTTATTATTTATGTTTTACTATTTAGTTGATGACAACTCATTTCAATTACATTTGCATGCATAAAGATTCTCAGTATTGTTTGTTTTTATTTGCTAGAAAAATCTTGTGCAGAGTATGCACTAATAATAGTTGCAGTTTAATTAACACACAAATGCTGCAGATTACTTTGTTAGCTTGTAAACCAAAATTCTCCAAAATTTCGATTTTTTTATGTATATAATTTACGTATCTCTCAATGAAACTAAAGATATATTTCAACATATAAAATTGGTATAAAATAATAAACGAACATGTATTTTAAGAAATATAAATATGTACGTAACATTTTTTACATTGTTCGGATATTTACCCGTAGGTATAGTATCTCTCATCGTATACGTGGTTTTATTCGCTCTGAAGGAAAATCGGTGACAAGCCAAGTATCATCCGCTGCTATGGGTCGATCAGGATATAGTTTGGCATGGGGTGTTTTGTCATACCAAATGATATTTTATCATATAATTTTTATAAAATATTTATTAATTTACCTGTATTGCACCGCTCGTACTAGTTCAGGATCTAGGTCACTCGCGTTCGTGTTGGGCGCGGGAACGTAGACGGTGTGAGCCTGTTGGAACGCGGCCTGGAATAGGTTGTCCGGGAACAGATTTCTGAAAACCGAAATAGATATCGCATTTTAGATATTTATATCACTTTAGTGGCATAGGTAATGCGATGAAGGAAGCATATTTTATTAGTAAATGGAAATAGATTATTTTCGCGTTTGAGACATTTATATTAGTTCCGTGGTTTACAAAATGTGGAGCACTTCCTCTCTGGTGGCATACAGTCGCTTTTAAAACATTATTTTTATAAAAATAAAACAATACCGTTGAAAAAATATTTAGGAAGCATATTTTATTAGTAGATGGAAATAGATTGTTTTCGCTTTTTCGAGACTAATAAGTCTCTAAGTCGAGACTAATAAGTTATGGAGATAAATTCCTTGTTTAACAAACGTATATCACTTCTAGGTTGCATTTGATAATTAAATTAATGATACAGAAACCATGCTTACGGATTTATTTTAGTTCACTTAACTTTAATTCAATTATTGTGTATCGTGAAACTAATATAATTTCTCATAGGCATAATATATTTGAAGACGTCAAAGCAATTTTAAAAAAACAGAAATCATATTTGAAGTTTTGAGTGTCAATTTGACATTTAAATGCTTGAAACAACCAACAATAAGTATAACTTATATAGTCATAATTGTAAAACATAATTTTATACTTATTTGGAAAAATTAATTTTAAAAATATTAACAATAAAATTACTACTTCATACAAATTAAAATAAATGCAATTAAAATAAATTATGCTAAAACTTTGATAAAGTAAATTGCCAAAAATAATTTATGAAAGAAAATGATTCAATTTCATATAAATATTCTTCAACTTTTTCAAATTATTCAAATAAAATTTTTAATTATTTAAATAATCGATCAATATTAAATTAATTTAAATAAATTACTAATGAAAACTAATGAAATTAAAAAAATATTCTGATCTACCTACTTGGTAAAACTCTTACATAATTATAACATAATTAACTGTAATTTATTCTAGACGTTTTACCAATTACATAATAATAGTATATTAAGGTATAATTGTCCTTATGACATCGAATTCAAATGTTGTTTTGTATGTAACAAAACACGATTTGTTTACGCTTTTGTGATATATAGGTAATTCATAATTATCAAGACAATAATTTGTTCTACCCATTAATCATAGAAATTAATAATGCATTTGTACAGAAATGTTAAAAGCAAATTAGTAGTCAACAAATAAAAATCTATAACCAATATTTGAACTAATTGTATAAGAAAATTGTTATATCCCATTATCCCAACACAAATGCTTTATAGTCTTTTATTAATTTATTCATAATATTAAAACTATGTATTGGCTTCAAATAAAATTAATAATTAATCAAAACAATCAAACAAACTATAAACTATTACTAAAGCTAAAGAAAGTCGGTAATCATAAA